GTGGTATTTCAAGGCAAAACCAGAGGCATCCAGGCAAGTTCAGAACGAGCTGATAGAGCATTGCCAGAAATGCTGCAAGTTTTTCAGAAAAGGAGTTGTGAACTTCCCACAGCGCCCAGCTTTGAAGAGGAGGTTGGTCTAGATGATCTCCAGAGGTCCTTTACACAGAAATCTTTCGATGATTGTAATTCAGCTGCAGCCAGCAAGTGCTGCTTACATAGCCCTCCACACCGCGAGCGAATCAATCAGGATGGCACCCAGGGAGCAAGGCTGAAGGCTCACAGCAGCAAGACTCTCCCCTTTATCCATCACCGGACAACGTGTACAAAAGGGCAGGAACAGAAATATTTTTATACCCTCCAAACGAGGCCTGTATTGTTCTTTATCTTTGTGTGGATCTATACAATGTCATTATCAAAAACTCCAGTAGGTCCGAATCAAATCCTAAGATAAAGTGAAACCATATATTGCCTCACCTGATTAGAGTCTCTGCAGTTCATCCCTCCGGCTAATCCTGTTGCATCGCCTGTTTCCCAAAGAGCTCTGTCTCTTCATTGCAGACATAAACTGCGTTAGACAAGTGTACCAAAACCACGAGTATTTACAGATTCCATCCAGCTTTTGAGAACGATGTAAAATCACTTCAGTTAAGAACGAGCTGATCACCTCAGTATTCGCATGGACCACAGATCATTTTCTTCTCCCAGCAAACTCCGAACTCGAATTCAGAGCAGACTAATTGACTTATAGTCCGTCCTGGTACTTCTGCAGCACTAATTATGCTTTTCACCTTCTCACTCCATGTTAGAATAAAAATCCCTTGATGTGCAGCACTGCGGACAGGCAGACAACCTTGCTCATTTAGCTGGTTTTCCCCAAGAATAAAAGAACAGAAACACTTCTGAGATGTGGCCTATCAGTGCTGCAGCTCTGTGCTGGCATCTCAGCAACGCAGCAGAGGCTGTGCCACTGAGGCCAGTAGCTTAGTGTGAGGGCGCAAACGGAGGTTTTGTCCTTCCCATTCATTCCTCTGGCTTAAAAACCAGTGTCATTTCCTTCAGGTGGTCCTGTTTCTCATTTTCATTCAGCCACCAGCCTAGACACCTCTCTATCCTAACTTCATTTCCTGAAGCATTAGGCGTGCAGACCCAGCATTAGCCCATTGCTTTGATTCCCCAGGTACCTTCATGGACTCATGGGTATAGAGCTGAAGGCAGACAGTTGAAATGCCTACACTACGTATCTGTACGCTTGCAGAAGCCCAGGTGTTTTCTTGGTGTTAATTCCTTCGCTTTTTGTTCTGCCCTCCCCAAATCAACAATTTCCACCATTGAAAGCTTATACAACATATTATCAAGGCAAGAATTTGAAGAACAAAGGAGAATTTTGGGGCAATGTAAAATAAACGCAGTATTAACATAAAGAGCACAAAATAAACTCTACTGAGTACTTAGTTCATTTGCAAATTTCTGTCCCCAGATCCCTACACTTCTCTACTTAGCTTGATCCCAAAGCACCTTTGGGTACCACACAGGTGTGCTGTAGACTAAGCATGTAATTTGTTTTAAAGGCATCTGTTATTTCTGTTTCTTCCCTCTTTCCATTTGATCCTCATCCTGTCCGTTCCCTTTTTTCGTTCTCCCCCCAGCTGATCACAGGGGCCAGACTAAAGACTGAGAGAAAAATCCAGTGAAAGAAATAGGGTCAGAAGCAGCCTGAAAATCAGGAACTAATGAGGAAGAAACAGGAGGAACTTGAATAGATGGGCAGTCGTGCACCAAGGAGCCTCTAGCTGGGCCAGGGCTGTACACATTGATCCAAAGTACAAGTGCTGCCACTGCACTGCTGGGAGTAACTGGGGGGGGCGGGGGGGCAAATACTCAGGATATCTTGAAAGGAAGATGTCATAGCAGCAGAGGATAAAAATAGGTTGAAGCCAAATTTGTCTTCATAAGTTCTCAGGTCACCAGGCACTTCAGAAAAAGCCTGTAAAGACACTGTATAGCTGGTTAGATGGGAGAAGTGGGGTTTCGTGTGTTCAGGAGAGTATTTAAGGGACTTCACTCCAAGGATGTGACCAGCTGCTGAGCAGCTCCAAGCACAGACTGTGGCACACATGGACACTGTGTGGGTCAGGGGATTAGAGGTGTGGAGACACAGTCCAAGTACAAATAGCGCAAAGGACTGACCCAACGTTGTTGAGCTCCGTGCAGGTTGGGATCGGGCCTAAAGTGAGCCTCATGTCAATCACTGGCAACACCAGTAGCGAATGCTCTGCTGGGAACCAAGTCCTGCAGAGCTCTCCTCTTGGGCTTCAGTGCTGCTTTAGCCTATATAGTAGCTGCAGGGTTCAGCTATATAACCCTGGGGTTTGGTCTCATCATCAGTCTGTAGCCAGCTATTGACTGCTTGGGAATAAGTCCCAAGTCTTTTCCAAAATCCATTTTCCTCCAGCAGCTGTTGCTGTAACACTAATCACGCTTGGGCTGGCTACAAACCATGTCCTTCTACCTGCTCCCATCCACATGGATTCTTATTTCAACAGTTATTGAGGGAAGGAAAAAAAAAAGTGAAGCTATTGATTTAAAAAAATTTGCATTTCCCAATGAGAGCCCCCAAGGTGGCTCACTGCGGTCAGACAGCCAAAGAACGGGCACAGGGAGGTTTTAAATCAAGGCAAAAAGGCAGAACATAATGCTTCCAATTTGCTTTCTTAAAATGAAATGTGCAAGCTAAAAAGCCGTGAATAAGCACTACTGAACACTGCAGCCACCAAAAAGAGAATTTTAAGCCATTCCCTTCCCCACCACCACCCCCCACACCTTTATCTTGTCAAGAGACAGTGTTTTCATTGTGTTCATATGGTAATTTAAATCAAGCTAGGGCTCAGAGCATACAGCGTAATTGTAAGTCAGCAAGGGTTTGAATGCCATCACTGCTGTGCAAATAACATCATCAGCTCATCAGCTGTGTCAGTAACATTGCAATTATGTAAGCAACTATTATTTCCATCCCTGATATGCCATATTAGAACTTATTTTGGGGGCTGGAGTTGACAGGTATTCCATAAATATGAAAAGCACACAACAGCAGACGAGCCGTGGCTCGAGGTAGGAACATCATTCCACCGGGGCTTTCTGGTGGCACCACCAGCAGTGCAGGCACTGCTGGATGGTCCTAAAGGAGCTGCTGTAAAAATTGTTGCTTTTCTGGTGCCCCCTTTGCCCTCACCATACCCACCACCTGAGACCCCTTTCCTTTCCTCTTACCGCCCTTTGTGCTCACCCAAACTCAAGCTCTACCCCCAAAATACTTTTAACCGCAGAAGAAGGTTACGTAGACATTTTAATCTGGTCTGTTGCAGGAGAGTCTTGGGGGTTTGGTTGTTGATTTTAATATGGCTAAGCCCTTGGACTGGAGCTTGGCACTAAGTGATTAGTCTTTCTGAGGCTTCCTGTGTGCTTTTGGCCAGATCAATGATTTCCTAAGCTTTTATTTCAGCTTCTTAAAAATGAGGCGAGCATAATGATTCCTTTCTCTAATCCTCTGCATGTTTATACGGTGAGCACATGGCAGCTGAGCCAGCCTGTGAGGCTGCCTTCAGAGAGCCCCAACCTCCCTCTGCCCCTCTTGCAACGGATCTCTTGGCAACAGAGGAGCAAAAGCCCACGAGCAAGGGCCCATCGAGGCTCATCGCAGCACAAAACTCATTTCCATGGCACCATGCGTGGTGCTACGCAAAGCCAACCTGCTGAAACCCTCACCCCTGCAAGCTTCGTGGGGAGGAGGAGGCAGAGCTCCTCTCCCAAACGCATTCCTTGTGCCCTCGGCACCCCAGGGAGGCAGATGGAATTGTCCTTCAGCTCTTCGGCGTGCCTCGTTTGCTCCCTCTCACGCACGCACACCCCTCACCCACATGGACTGCGGCCAGAGCGCACAGCACAGCTTCGAGTTCGGGGCTGAGGAGCTCTTCAGTAACAGCTCAATATAGGAATAAACACAATAAATACAGCTCAGATTAATCCAGTCAGCTGTTCTGTATTGTGCCTAAAGAAGCAACGCTCCACTGAATGCATATCAGGATGATAGATTCTGAATTTAACTATTTTTTAAAAAAATATTCCAGCTTAAAACACAATTGGGAGATCAATTCTTTAGATCCTCATATTATATAGGGTTTAGGACTCGAGTATAACTCAGTGTGAAGGGAGATGATTCTCATCTTCACCTTATAGAAATGCTGCATATCACAAAAGCAGACAAAGGGTACTAATAGGGGTAAGGTATGGGGAGAGACAGCCATAAAACTGTGTATGTCTGGTATTTACAGAATACCTGTACACAGTATGATTAATCTATATTTTTGGTGGTTTTGAAATCATGCCTGCAAGGAAGATGTGTCTATCTGAATGTACTCTTTATTAGAATAATTACATTGTTATTTTGGGGGGACACTGAGGTCACCTATTCTTTTACTGTTTTCTCTAGTGTATTATATTCATGGGAAAACATATTTATTCAGAACTTCATTTTGATTTAATAGAAAAATGGTTCTTGCCACAGCAATGTGAAATACTCATTTTTCTCCATGTGTTGATTTTTGGCATATAAATGCCAGAAGCCTCTGTTCTCTTCCCCTTATCAACAAAAACTTGCCTGAGATTAATTTCCTCATCATCCCTTCCTTTTAAAGTGGCTGTTTTTCAATGCTATTTAAAGACAGAGTTGTGATAAATTCCTGTTTTCAATGTACAGATTCCAGTGAAAGAGCCCATTGCACAGCAGTAAAGTAATTGAATCCAAATAGAAAGGGTCAAAACCAAAATATATATATATATAAAATCAGGTACTGCTACTCCAGCCAATTGTATAAGAGGCACCCTTCATCTATTTTTCTTTCTAATGACAATTAGTTTTAAAATAAACTAATTGCAAAAGTTTTTGAAGTTTTTATAGAGCAAAAGGGACATGCTTCTGACACCACTTCTTTATAATTGCAGATTGGACTAATTGAAGACTACTTACAAGAAAAAGGAGACAATTACTTAAAGAACAAAAGGCGGCGAATGGCTAGAGTGAAAAGAATGAAGCATATTCGAAGTATACAGCAACAGTAGAGACTAGGAAAAATAAAACTGTCCCTTACCAGCCCTAAAGACATGGCCACACGGCAAACAAGAAAATTAACACTCTAGATATTTGATAGATAGGTCAGCAAAAGCCACCTTTCCACTTAATGAGCCTTCCCCTCCCTGTGGGGTATCTTTAGCAAGACACTCCTGCACTTCATTAGTCTTAACTAGCTGGAATAAATGTCTGTGAAAGTCTCGTTTTAAATTGTCTTGTTTATTTAAATAGTTCACCCAGCCAAAAAGGGGCCTGTATTTTCTGCTCCAAGAATGTTCTGCATCCAAACTCCATGAAATCCTGCTGGCTCGATTGTCGCCCAAGAAGCCCTGAAAACAAGGATCCCTCCATCTTCAGCTGAGAAGGATTCAGCCTCACGTTACCTTCTCTCCAGGTTAATGCCTTTTACACTAGAGACATTGGTACAATCTATAGGCAAAAAGTGGCATCCTGCACCTTACATCTGTGGCAACTACAAGTGCCAGAAACACGACACTATGAAAAGAGAAAGAAAAAAGAAAAAAAAAAAAGGGAGCCCAGCTCTTGCCCCGTGATTAAGAATGTGAAGTCCTTCGCTCTTGTCTGTGCCCTAGGGATCATTTTTTCCCCCCATTAGATAGTAATTGTTTTGGGTTTTTGTAAATGCACAAACACTCCAGGGAAGAGAACTGCACCTGCCTTCTGCACCGCGAATCTCTCGGTTAAGGATCAGCGACACGTGTTGCGCTCCCGCGGCAGCAGTCTGTCGCGGAGGCGCATCCTACATCGCTTCAGTCTTCAAGGGAGCACAGCCTCCCCGATCCCCCGAGACCCGGCATCAGCCAGCAAAGCAGCACGCCTACTTTCCAACAGAGATCACCCGATCAGACGATGTTTGACAGGCGTCCCCAGCTGATGCACGCGGCCTCTTCCAAGGCTGGCACTTCCTTTTTGCTCACCGTGTTTGCTGGGTATGAAAACAACCTCACCCTATAGAAACAGCATTCGGTTCGTTACATTTTCTCGTTCAAGGATGACTTTAAAACAAAAAGATAGAAAGAAAGGAGAAATCTCCCCCTCAGCCCTAAGTTTTAATTAAAAACCCAGGACCTCAAAGGTATTTAGCCACTTAATTCCCGCTATCTATTTATCACAGATAGGAGTCTAAATCCTACAGATTTTAAGCTGCTAGAGACCATCTTCCTAGGCTCTCACAAAAGGTTTTTGAAAACTAAGAAAGAACTGGCAAATGCTTTGATGGTCCTTTGTTCATTGTTAACAGCATAAGTATAAAGAACCCTTTCTGAGAAAATCTGAGCTAGCCTGAGCTCCTTAAACATGCGGGACAGAGAGACAAAGAATTATTGCCCTTTGGAGATGGCATTATTTTGCTATGGAGTTGGTTTTGTCAGATGAAGTTTTATGACACGTAGTGGCAATCATCCATCTTTGATGAGCAGACACACTCTAAATCAGAAAGACTGCTCCCCACGGATCATCAAGTCACAGTCAACACACAGTTTTGTAAATCATGAGACTCTTAAGCAAATACTCTTAATTTGATGCACGCTGCCTTACTATTCTGCAATATTTAATGCCAAATCAGGTATTTTTACCTAGAATGATGAAAAATAATGAGGTGCACTGAAAACAGGCGATCTTTGGGAACAAAAAAGCAGCATTGCCAGTGAAAAACTGTTGTCTGTGTAACACGAACAAGTTGATCCAAGCGAGAAAGATGTACCAGCCTCATCGCAGAGCTTTGTGAGGCACCCAGATCTGAGACAAGATGTGACATTTCACTTTTCAGATAACAGATAGGGCAGAAAACCTGTCTACGCTGCAGATCAATACATGACTGAGAGAGAGAGAGAGGCCATAGCCCAGATCAATCTGTAAGGTGTCGGAAACATCTAGGCCGATGCCTGGCTACGGTGCCCTTTAGCCTCCCGAAAGCCACAGACTACAGCAGTTGTCAGGAGATGAAGCTATGAAACAACATAAAGCAAACACAAAAGGAGCCCCTGTCATGGAAAAAAGCGTTGGTGTTTTCCAAAAATGCCCGTCTGTAATGCATAGATTCCCAGGCCCAACTCCACAGAGTGTTTTATTCAAGACATTTTGAGAGCCAGCTTTGCTCCATGAATATACTACATTTTAGCTGGACAACGGAGAAGGAGGGCTGTGGGGGATCTCCGCTGCTTGCTACATGCAGTATAGTTTCTAAAGCATGAGATTCACTAGGATCACCTAAAAAAAAAAAATAAAAATCAAAATCAAACCAATAATAATTAACTTGCCTTTTGAAAAAAATGCAGACTGTGTTATAATGATGCTCTAGTCTGTTAGCTGGTGATGTCTATAGGGTGATGACATAGACTGTGGCTCCTTTCATCCAGGAAATATTATTACAATTTGGACTTCATTCCTCATCCTCCTTTTGGTTAAGGTCACATTAAAAACAGTCCGGCCCATGGTTGCTGTGGCTATTTTAGTCCTGTACACGAGGACAGATCCGAGACCACTCCCCAAGAGTGACTTTCAGGTCACTTCTCTTTCAGAAACTAGTTTCCAAATGAATGATGGGGGCTTGTTTCCCTCCATCACTGAATTTTTTTGTCACAAAAATGATTTATCTGTTGACAGCTAGGTTCACTGGCCTCAGGCAACTGCAGTCAGTTGAAACCACGCAATGAAAAGCAAAGAACTCCACACCAATTTGAAGAAAGGGGTGGGAAAAAAAAAAAAAGAAAATGTATAAATACCCTCTGCCCTAAGATTGCCTCGTAACTCTTCTGCTTGCTGTTGCAATCCTTGCTTCCTTGTAAATGCCACAACTTCTGTACTAAGCCCTGGAAGGGACAATGAGCACAAGCAGGGTCAGCTCCTTCAGGTGTTAGGCTTGTGTTTACTGCGGGATTACAACACTAAATACGACTCAGAGAAGGTAGACCACACAGTGGCTGGTCTTAAAATCAATTTTCACTTTCACTATTTGCGAATTCTCTTCTGTCAAAGCAGTATGGTGAAAACACTAGAAAAATACAAGGTTGTGATTCAAAGCAATGGAGAATGGGTCTCCAGCTAAAGAATTAAAGACACCAGAGAGGAAGAAGATGAGATGCACTCATGACATCCAGTGGTAGGGACTAAATGAGGACAGGCACTAGTGGCATCCACTGCTAGGGATGAAATCAGTAGTCTGCTGTTGCTAATCTCCCTCTGTTAGTCCGTGAGAGGGACAGTCCTCAGAAAATAATTCAGAGCACCTCAGTCACACTCTTGCCTCTGCAAGTATCTCCCTCTACCTTTGTTTCACACCAAAGGTGAAGGAGAAAAGAATGGTTACATCAAGTTTTCCTTCAAATTTGACTATACAGATTACAAACTCCAGAGAACAAGGACTGTCTTACGATCCACTCTAGGTTTGTTGCTAATTCTTCTTAGGAATTAGCACATTAATACTTCTAAACAAAATACCACTTAGAAAGGAGTCTCATATTAAGATATCTATAAACTAATTATGAGTTCATTGACGCAGAAGACATAGGAGGGTTATTAGGCACCACACAGTACTTCCAAAACAAAGTCCACGGCTAAAATTAGAAGAATCTATACACATTTACACTGTATGATACAGACAACCTGGCTGAGAAGTTGTACAAACCTAACCTGTTGCTTATTGCGTGGCCAGATGCGATCACACATCTTTAATCTCAAAAACCAGAACAACAGCAGTCCACAGCTTTACGTTTTTCCATTTGAACTACAGTCATTGTCACAAGAGCCAATTTCACGTTGAGCTATTTCTTGTCCGTGTTGCAATTCATCACGAGAAGACATGAGATCTAAGATACCTCGGCAAGGCATAGCCCATGAATAATACAGCGCATTGCATTGACCTTTTCAGTTTGCTTTGTAGTGTGATTGGCCAACCATTCCTGTCCTCCCCTGTTAACCACCCCATTAACCTGGGGAGGAGAAGGTGGGACAGGCAGACAATTAGCCAGCAGAATACTAAAAACATTAACATGGGAGCGCACAGCCCTGGCTTTCTTGAGCTTCAATGGGTATTAAGATTCTGCAATCTCTTTCCTCTTTCAGAGTCTGCAGGGACGAAATAAGAAATCGCACAAGATGAACTTTGTTCTCATTTCAGATGGTAATCATGTAGTTCCTTTCAGATGTCACACTTGGATGATTCTAGTTTACGCGTGAATAAATCGAGAAGGATGTTTATTTTTACCCCTCTCAATATGGAGAATATTCAATTAGAGTGGTGAACTTTTTCTTTGAAGCTGGTCATTCTTGAGTAAAGGAAAATTAGAGAAAGTAGAGGCGAAAAAGCTCCATACGGCGATCTTTAAAAAGGTCACCCTTGCTACACTAACTACGCCAGCTGAGTCATTCCAGTCACTTCCTAGTCACAGAGAAGAAACGGTGGAACTTTTGCATCCTGTGGGCTGTCAGCTGCAGAAAGCCTTGTCTCAGTATCCACCAAGACTGCCCGGGCAGGCGGACCTCACCTGCCTCAGGCACATGTAGAAAACGGGGCACAGTATGTCTCGGTGGAGTTTCAGAAGTGCCTGGTGAAAACAGCCCCATTTCCCTGGGTTTCCATAGAGCTTTGTAAAATCTTCCTTTTTTTTTTGTTTGTTTGGTTTTGGGTTTTGGGGTTTTCTTGTGGTTTTTTTGTTGTTGTTGTTGTTGTTTTTTACAGATCACATGATCATGAATGACAGAGTTACGTAGGCAAGCATCAGAAATTGTTTTCTGAAGCCTTGTAGTCAAAAGACCTCAATTCAAGACTTCACATGAGCTTCTTTTGTTGTAAATATTTTCCAAACATTACTCCAGTGGTTCAGTTACGACGACCCAGGATAGTTTGTTTTTCAGACATTGCCGTGTTCTTGTCTTTGTACCAATGTGTTGCTCTGAGTTGCTATTAATAGCAACGATATGAAATACCCACTTCAGATGGAAGAAGTGGGGGCAACTTTTCCACTACCCA